GACTATATTGATGTCTTGCACTATAAGGCCTAGTATGTCATTGCGAATTTAGCCATACTATATATTGACGCGATCGAAATCAACCTGGATTCGATACAGAGGGGCCTACGGACGCTCTAGTACTGTCTAGGTATGTTAGCTAGGCTAGGCCTGTTCTCTGTACGGTGTAGGCCTAGCCTAAACTACTAGGCCAAGCTTACTTAGCCTAGGCTTGGCCTAGCTTTTTTAATATCATGAATATTGTGCCCAGGGGTACATTTATGTTTACCTGATTGATTCTAAAACATGCCATTTATTGCTGATGTGTTTGAGGCATATTTATGTCATTTAAGACTACAGTTTCAGTATACAATAGGCCCCTACACCTTTTCCACGAATTAGTAGGCATCTTGATGAAGTGATGACAAACAACCCATGATGGCCCATTTCTTTGACCCAACTCAGTTAGGCCAAGTAAAAAAAAAAAAACATGTTTCGCGTCCCCGCCCGCATGGTTTTTTTCGCCCGCCTTGATTTTTTTTTTATTTTTTATTTTTGGAAAATTCATGAAAATAAAGAAAAAATATATAGAAAATTTAGAATTAAATGTTGGAAAATAAATACCCTAGCCTAAAATAGTGCAATATCTTCGTCTAACCTTTCGTATAGTAAAGCTATGCCTAGGCTAGCCCAATAGGCCTATCTCTACCTAGGCTAGCCCGATATCTCTAGGCTAGGCCTAGGCCGTCGCCTACTCTGGGCGTCAGGCGGCAAACCTCGAGTTCACTTCACTAGAGCGCGTTTGTCATGCATACAATTGCCGTATTCGATTGGGACTATACGTTGAGTATGTTATCCCGTTGAGTACAAAACTTAACGATAAATTCCGAGCGTTAACTTCGTTGAGCAGTTTCCGTTGAGCAGAGCACGAAAGTCCCAATCGAATATGCCCGATGATTTCCGATGAATTCTGGAATTTCCCGTTATACTGGCCCTCTATGTCAGATTGTATGGAATAGTTTCATGTGAAGACGTCTGAGACGTAACATCGGGAACATTCCGATTGTATACAGTAACAATGATGAACAAAACTAGACGGGAAATGTCAACAAGTCTGTAGAATGGCGGCCATTTTGAAAAATAAAAAATAAAAAAGGCCGCTTCCTCAATTTAAAAAAAAAGCCGGACGTGAAACATGTTTTTTTTTTTTTACCTGGCCTTATCCGTAACCAACAGAAATAAGATAAGCTTCGATTTGAGGCTGAATTCTTGTCCTTATGTTATCTAAAAATTCGTATAACTCTATAACGGAGGGTCATATCACATTAATTATTTCTGGAAAAGAAAATGTTCTCAAAAGACTATTCTACAATGGAAAAAGAAAAGCCTATGTAAAGTAGTGTACTATTAAAATAGACCTATGCATTTACAGTCTGAGTAACTAATTCCTCCATGGTAGAGTAGGCCCTACTCTCGCTAGCATTGTTTTATTTACCATATGAGAGTTTCCTGTGTTAAAAACATAATTTAGGCTACTACTATATACTATACTTCTTAATAAAAACATAACGTTTAAATCAAAAACGGCTCAAAAAAATTCCAGGTAAAATTGATTTTGAGTACTGTAAAAAACAAGCTTTTTTTTTCATTCATTCGCTTGGCTATAGTGATCACAACATGGACGCCCTATGTTTTGTACACGTTATAACATCTCCTAAAAAAAAATATTTTTAGTTTGGTATTGTGTAGTTTCTATGAAATATTTAATTGAAATGTTAATATAACTACACTCAGTGCTCAATACAGATCAAAACAAGATCGAACACGACTGTGAATGTTTAAGTACATACATAAGCAATTGAACCGTGATAAAAGTGATACAGTATTTTACAGTCATGATTATATTTAGAGATAAATATTTAATTATAATTTCATGAATAATGTATTTATTTAATAATGACGATTTGTCATTCAGTGTTTTTAATGAATAATGTGTTGTTTCCTATACGTACCATGTCTAATTGCCTATTCACATTGCGTGCAGAAATCCTGAGTGCTGCTCTCAGTTGCTGAACGTAGCCGAGTGCCGCAATGTGATGTAGAATACAACCAAGGACCTACACAATGAACAAGGAATATGAAAACAGAGAATATACAACACATCTCTTTAAAAAAATATTTTTTAGGCCATTATACTTTTTATGGATTTTTCCTATAAAATTGTACAATTCATATTCAGTGTACATTGACTACTCGAACAAATTCAAACACAAATGTGAATTTTCTATGTAAAGCTCGTTTTCAGTAATTTTTAACAGGCTTTTTTGCATTCATTTGGCTTGGCTATATCATTATCGCACAACATGGACGCCCTATGTTTTGTACAAGTTAATCACCATCTCCTAAAAAATATTTTTTAGCTTATGTAGTTTTTTTTATATTTCTATTGAAATTTTAATTACAATATTCAGTGCTCAATACAGATCAAAACAAGATCAAACATGACTATGATTGTTTTATGTAAAACTGATTTTTCAGTGATTTTCAACACCTTTACTAGATTTTGGTTGTGAGCTGCTTCTCTTCCTCATTCAAGGCGCAATGACTGTATATTTGCACGACCACCGTGCGGGAAATTTCAACAATAAAAAATCAACATTGATCGTAAAATACAATAAAATATCATATTTATAGTGTGGATGATGATTAAAATATGTTTTTAATGTAAAAAGTTGTTGTTGTTAGGTAAGAATTGATGTAGAGTGGTGTATGGTATGTTGTGTATAGATGCTGTGTTGTTGTATTTTGTGTGTTGATGTCGTAATTGTAATGATACATAATTCTACTCACGTCGTCCACGTAGTCGACAGTTTCTACCGTCGCTGATTTTAAACTCTCACTGATGACATCACGTGGTGCGCTGTGCCACACAATCAGATGTAATAACGGGATGCCGCCCTACGAAAACAACAAAATACGATTATAACAAAACACATTCAACTATCACACATACACAAAATATCACATATAAACACAACTTAATCACATCATAATTACATTAAATAATCACAATCAATTAAATATTCAAATATTATTACAAATTAACTAACTGTTTAAAGCTAATCGTTTAAAAATCGTAAATTTTATCAATTTTTTTTATGAACGCTTTTTCCTATTCTTTTTTGCATTGACAAATTTTATGTTAATTTAGGGTTTTGTTCAGATCATAATTTTTTAGGAATTTTGTATTTTTAACACTCTAGATATGTTTCTTTTGTATAAAGGTTTGAAAAGAATACAGACAATGATATGTTTTATCCACTAGTTAAGATTTTTCTTCATCATTAGGCCTATACTGACTTCAGAGAAAATTGCCTATACTTTATCGTTAGATA